ACTTCTCCTCGCTGGTGGTTCTCCCAGCATTCTTTTTCTATCAGATATTTTCCCGCTTCTCCAACGCAAGATAAACTTCAAGGTGAGGACTCAGGTTCAGTCCCATGCTTGGGACACGGTAAAGGAATAGGATCAGAGTGTCTAAATCCTAGGTGCTCACCCACTTGGTAGTTGCCATTCACCTTCCGGGAATTGGAGGTGAGAGCGATGGGGATGGCATGGCTAGCCCGCCCAATCCAGTAGAGAAGGCGCCTGCCTCCAGGGGAGGCCACAGACCTGTTTGATGGAAGACTCACACCCTCACAGGCCACACAACCTGGAGCCACCTCACTAGAGGTTTTCTGGAAGCACACACATCTTCACGGAGCTCAGGCGTTCCTACCAGGCAGTAAGCGGCCAACATATGAACGTGAAATCCATTTACCTGAATAAAACCAGCTGCCCACCCAATGTCACCCACAGGGAACAGTCACCTGGAGGAGCGGGGAAGATGTTGAAAGAAGAGATTACTTTAGCAACTTGTTTTGGGAATGCGAGACAGAGGCAGGTCCCCAACAGGGGTTCCGGCTAGACTGCGCACTGTGGGCTACCTCTGCCTGAACCTGGAAGTGTGATAACGATGACAATAGCAAACACGTGACAGAAATTTCTGTGGCCCCAGCACTGTGCAGGTTCCACAGCGCCATGCGGCAAACACTATGATTATCACCCCATTGTACAGTAAGGAAACTGAAGTTCTAGGAGCTCCAATAGCGCAAGAACTAGACTGGCAAAGACCACATGACCTTATGACGGCCCATGACCTTATCCCATACAAATCTGTCCCCAGCACGGGTCCCATTTTCCACACCCACCTTTTTTATGTCTGGCTCACCTTTATGAGTCTCTGGGTTAGCTGGAGATACTTGGGGAAGGAATTGTCGGAGAGAGATGCTTATTGCCTAATACATACTTAACTACATGAAAAGATAGAAGGGAGTGACCATGATGGCATTCGTCTTCCTGCCCCATACCACGCCTAGGACTTTTTCCTGGTATTAGTGGGATTTTGATTCAGCCAGAGAAAAGCAAATTTTGGAAGAAAAGAGAAAGGGATAGCCTTTCACTGCAATTAAGCTCACCCAAAAGAGAAGACAAAAAATATTCTTTAAAAGACTTTTCTGAAATATGATTTTGTTTCATTTTAGAAACATTTTTACAGATTAAACGTGTAGTAGAAAGTCACTAAGGATATAACTTTGCTTTATTTGAGGGCCATAATAGCTGTTGGAGCTAGAAGAGCCCTCGAGGTAATCCAGATTAGAAGTTTTTGAATTTTTTTAAGCAACAGAGTATTATATTTCAAATAACATCTAAGGGCTGTCAATGCATACCACAGATTTCAAAAGCAAGGACAGAGCTGCCCTGGTTGAATGGGGAATGGGGGTTGCTAGTTCTCATTTACCTAAAGAAAACCAGTTGCCACCTAATGTCACCCACAGGGAACAGTCACCTGGAGGGTTGGGGGGAAGATGTTACAAGGGATCTGACCGTCTCTTCCTTCTTAGCTGGTCTCTGGGTGACAGCACTCCCACTTCCCAGCTAGTGGAGGCCCAAGTGCTGCAAAGTATCACAGGGTCCTTGCTGCTCATCCAGGCTCTTCCTAAACCACATCAGGAAAAGCTTGTCTTCTCTCTGCCAACAACATGGCACTCCTTGTAGCTGTCGTGTTATTATGTCAGGGGGTTGTGTTCCTTCTGTGTCTATCACAGACGGGGCGAGCCTGGTCATCGCTGCAACGTGACAAGCCACGGTTCCTCCTGGAGCTCTGCTCAGAGGCAAGCAAAACACAGGTGCAAACCCGCCGACAAGCACAAGGTCTAGGAAAATGCTAAGTCACTCACAACTTGGCTTGGGAGGCTCATTTCCACGGTGATTTCCTCTCCCAGCTTTTTGAGTTAGACTTTTTAGGAAATATTATGTGGTCACATATCACTAAACACATACAGACATGCATGCATGCATGCATACATGCATACACATGACTGCTAATTTATAATAGTCCCTCAAGCCCTAGCCGGTTTGGCTCAGTGGATAGAGTGTAGGCCCATGGAATAAAGGGTACAGGTATGATTCCGGTCAAGGGCATGTACCTTAGTTGCAGGTTCCCTGACCCTGGTTGGATGCAGGATGCAACCAATCAATGTGTCTCTCTCACATCTCTCCATCTTTCCCTCTCCCTTCCACTCTCTCTTTTTAAAAAAAATCAATGGAAAAATATCCTCGGGTAATGATTAACCAAAAATAAATAAATAAATAAATAAATAACCTGTTTAAAAATAATAATAATAAAATAAAATAGTCCACCAAGTAGACATATAGTAACTTAGCCTATATACTAGCCAACCTCTGCATCGTCAGCATTAAGTATTACAAGATCAGAAAGAAAGTGAACGGCCGGTCCCTGGGCTGAGTTCAAGGAGAAGCTGATGATTAACAAGGGGAGAGGAATCAGGCTTTGAAGGCATGAAAATGACCCCTGCGATCCCTTTTGCCTCTAAGATTTCATGAATCAATAATAATTACAATGACAATTACTACCGTTACCAGCTGGCACCATGCTAAGCACCTCACAGGTTGGTTCATTCATCCTCAACAAGACACTTCAGAAGAGTTCATGATGCCCGTTTACCGTTAAAGACACAGAGGCCCCAAACGTCAGATCACTTTTGCAAAGACATCCAGCTGATAAGGGGCAGAGCCAAGTTTTCAAAACCAGACCAGTGTGCAAAGCTCAATTCTCTAAGTTAAACCACCTCCCTGCAGACATCTGAAAACACAAGCAATGGGCATATGGCACAGAAGGTGGGGCTGCAGGAGCACAGGTGGAGGGGTCACTACCACTGGGGGACATTAGGAAGGCTGCATAGTGGAGGTGGCCTTTGAACTGAATCTTGAAGGTGGGTGAATGGAAGGTACTTACATAAAGGTGCGTGGAGGCGGGTGAGTGGAGGCAGTGGCTCTGGGATGAGGCGCTGCATGAAAAGTTGCCCAGAGGCATGAGAAGGGATGGGTGTCCAGCGACCCACAAGCAGAAGCGTATGACAAGGAAGAGCAAGAGAAAAAGCTGGAAGGGTGAGCCAGATCCTGGTGGTCATGGGAGAAGCTTGGGCTCTCTCCTTCAGAGGACAGGGAGCCCTGGGTGGCTCTAAGTAGAGGGAGGCCTGGTCACACGAGGAGGGCACTTGCTGCCCTGAACTTACATCATACACTCGGGTCGGTTCTCTGGGAACCTGTGTGCAGTGACCACGGGGCAAAGGATAACCAGGGCTCCAGAGGAGGAATCCAGCTGCCAAATGCAGCCAAGCCCTTCGGGTTACAAAGAGGGAAGGATCGGTCAAAGAAAAGACAGCAAATCAGAAAGAGCACAGCACTGTCTTCCATGAGCACCATCTTCCTGCTGCGATTATAACCGCTGGCTTTGACCTCCATGAAGCCATCCAGTGCCCTGAGTACATTCTCCAGAACTTGGCACTGGCATCATCGAGGGAGTCTGTTGAAGGGGAAATTATGGAGAAGCATTTGGGACATTGGAAGACACACCACTGGGCACAGCAACACCTCCTCCCCTCCCACACCAGGTACTGCCCCATAACAGGCTGCCCACAGAGGCTCTTCTCCTCTGGCTTCCCTTTCCAGCAGGAGGTGACAGCTTTTCCCTTTGATGTCTTCTCTGTTTGGTTTTATGATTTAGCACAGACTATGTCCTAGGATCCACCTCCACTACAGAAGAAAGGTACAGGAAGAGGCAGTGAACTGGCTAAACCCAGAGGACACCCATTCTCAGCCCCATCTGAAATGGGGGTCTGAGTAGCCAACATCTCAACTGTCCAGAGAGTAGTCCAGAGAGGCAGGGAGAGGAACAGGAGAAGAGACAGGAGGAGTCACAGCTCAGGATGGTCCGATGGAACCTGCCTGGGACCCACAGTTTTTGCCCCTCTCTTTGGCAGGATCGTTCCGTTGTCCTGACATGAGAGCTCATGGAATCCTCCCAGTAGAGGGGACCCAGGCAGTGGCACTGAACCATG